TACCCCCCCTTTACTCTCTCTCTCTCATTCATTCATTCAATGACCATTCATTAAATGTCTGGTATGCATCAAACACATGGGGTACGGTCAAAAATGGACAAAAATCCCTCATGAAACTTATATTCTAATGTGAGGGAAACCAGACAATAAATAATAAATACAGAATATAAATGAATTATATATTTATATATAACTTACATATTAACTTATTAATGTATGTGTGCAAACTATCTACTAATTAAGAAAGTGATCCTTGCTTTAGAAAAATTGAGAGCAGGTAAGGGGGCCAAGAAATGGCAGGGAGGTGGAGCAAAGAGAGTGGTCAGGATGGGCCTCGTTGCAAAAGATTCTATCTGCATGTGGACTCGAAAGAGATGAGAGATTGATGGGCGAACAGTTTCCCCTGAGACAGAGGCCCCGGGGCAGGACCGTACCTAGCAGGTTCAAGGAACAGGAGAGAGGAATCGAGCAGGACAGTGTTAGGAGAGGAGTCTGAGAGGTCATGGAGGGGCTTGTGGGTTATGGCAAGGCCTTTGTTTTTACTCTTAGATGGGGGGCATCTCAGGGTTCTAGGCAGGACTGGATGTGATCCACGCATTTAAAGGGCCACTCTGACTGCTGGGTGGTAGAGGCTGTAGGGAAGCAAGGGTGGAAGCAAGTGGCTGTTTGAAGAAATAGAGGTTCAAAGCATCTTGCCCCAGAGTTGCACTAGTCATGGGGTGTTGGAGCCAAAACTGGAATCCAGATCCAACACCAGAGCCCATGCGCTTTCAACTGCACCAGCCTCCTCTCCCAGGTGGGTGAGGCCCCGAGGTGGGGAGGGGGTGGTTGCCCAGCCTCCCTAGCCCAGGTTCCAAGGGAGAGGGGGATGGGCGTGGATGTAGCCCTGGGATGGCCTGCCTCCCGAGTCAGGGTGGTCCGACCCCCCCCTGTTAACCTGCCCCAGGCCTGTGTGGAGGTGTGGGAGGCATGAGGCCCCAGAAGCCGGGCCCAGCTCTGGGCACTGGGGAGCCTGGGCATGCCAGGGCTGTGGCTGTGGTGGCGGGTTGCTAGGTGACTCTAAGAGGGAACCCTGGTTACTGCTGCCTGGCAGAGGCAGCTCCCTCCTCTGCCTCCCTCACCTCCTCTGTGGCCTCTGGCCTCCCGGGAGGCCTTGTGGGGGAGTTGTGATCTGCGCTTGCTACTGGATCTTGGCTGGGAGCTCTGATTGGTGCCAGGTGGCTGGGCCCCGAGGAGCCAGACTGGGCTTCAGGGCCTGGACTTCCCTCAGGGGCCACAGCCTTGGTGCACACCTGGTGCCCAGCCTGGCTGCACAGGCAGAGGCCTAGGTTGTCCTTAGCCAGGTCTGGGCTCCCTCCCCGGGTGACCCTGGGCAAGGTATGACAGCCCTCTGGACCTCCACAGCCCCATCCATCTGGCCTGCACCATCCCTCCACCAGGGCCAGGTTTTCTCCGAGAGTACCAGGGGTGCTGAGCCAGCCCAGCTCCAGGCACCCCGCCCCCGCTCCCTGATGGCTTGAGGGTGTAACACTCCGTTTTGCATTAGGTTCCATTTGCGAACAGTTTCACTACTTAAAAAAAAAAAAGTTTGGGGCATCTGGGTGGCTCAGTCAGTGAAGCGTCTGCCTTTGGCTCAGGTCATGATCCCAGGGTCCTGGGATCAAACCCCGCATCATCCGGCTCCCTGCTCATCCCTCTCCCTCTGCCCCTCCCCCCCCTGCTCGTGCTCTTTCCCTCTGTCTCTCTCTCTCTCTGTCTCTCTCAAATAAATAAATAAAAATCTTTTTTAAAAAAGTTTGAAAACCTGTGGACTGGATGAGTTCAAGAACTTGCAGTGTCAAATTGAAAAGGTCACAGAGTACAGTTGGCACATCATCAGTATCCAGGCGGAGAAATAGGCCCAGAGAGAGACGGACAGGCTGGCCCAGGTGAGGCTTGGTGGGGTGAGAAGAGCACCGAGCCAGGGGTCAGGAGACCTGCGCTTGAACCCCTGCTCTCCTACCAGGTCCTGGGTGACCTTGGGCAAGTCCTTTCTTCTCTCTGGGTCGGACCAGCCGTGGTTTCAGGCTGGGGCTCCAGCTCCCTGGGGTACCTGGCCAGGCAGGGAACAGTGGGGGAAGAGTGCAAACCTTCATAGGCCCAGAGCAGGTGCTCTTGGTATTCGAGAACATTTTTTTTATATTCAGAAAACTTAGCTGCATTATGAAGTACAATGCAAAAATCTCCCTGAATGCTAAAAATGAAGCACAAGACTTAATAGGAAATTTTGACCTCGCGACATGCCCCCAGTCTTCCCATGCTGCCAGCTTCTGGGGATAGTTTACATGGAAAGTTTGAGAAGCTCTAGAGTCCTGGCTTCCTGAGATTCTTTGGAAATTCCCTGACTCGTTTCTCTCTGCCGTGGTGGCATGTGATGCCCTTTAGACTCAGGGCGTGAGTAACCTGAAATCAGTACCTGGCTCTACCATCCGCACTGTGGGACCGGCAGCTTACTGAGCCTCTCTGAGCCTCACTCTCCTCATCTGGAGCTACGGATCACAATCCCCGCGTTGTATGGAGTTTGATAGACTATGTGAGATCAAGTACTTACAACACCTGGGGCTGAACAAGCAGGTACTGAGTGGGTGCTGGCACTTGGAGATGTCCTTCCTCCTCCCTCCTCCCCCCAGCACTCAGCCACAGGTTGGCACATAGTGACACTGATAAAGAGGTGTTGCCTGACCAGCCTCCAGTTGGGGAGAAGCTGGGAGGCGGAGCCTCTGTGAAGCCAGACAGTCCCCTGTGGAGAACAGAGCCCCTGAGACCTCTGAATACAGGTGTGCTGGAGGGGCTAGAGAGCCAGGTGCAAGGGCAGGGGTGGGAAGGGGGTATCTACTGGAGGGAGCACCACTCCCTGGGGGCCTAGCTCCCCTCTTCACAGGATCCCAGGAGAAGCCAGGCAGAGCAACGCTGGGAGGGGTCTTGGAGCTGTCACCTCCCAAGACCAGAAAGTGCCAGCGATAGGGAGGGGGCGGGGTGCCCGGAGAATCGGGGCAGTACCTGGAGCTGGGAGTGGGAGTGGGGCAGCAGGAAGGAGCCCTCCTCCTGGAGACTGGTGGGAAGGAGGCAGGAGGGAGGGCCCTCACTGGTCAGTGGTTATGGGGCTGGGCAGACAAATAGGTTAGGAGTAGGTCCATGAGCTGGGTTAGATCTGGAGTGCTATCTGGCATTGCTGCCTGTGGGACCCTGGGCAAATTACATCATGCCTCTGGGCCTCCGTTCCCTCGTCAGTGAGACGGGGTAATGCCAGCTTCCCAGACTTGTTGGTGCCTAGCACACTTATACTCAGGACAGGATATTAAGGGGGTAGAGACAGAGCAGGTCTGTTGGATGATCTCAAAGTGTGGTCTTCTGGCCAGAGTGAGGCCTTTAACCAGTGTTTATGAGCACCCGGTGCATTCACCAAACACATAACCCACACACGTTACCTCAGGTAGTGATCTAACAGCTTTCTGAGGTGGTTACTGAATGGTGCCCATTTTGGTCCAAGTCGTTCACTGAGGCAGCTGAGGCTCACGGAGATCGAGTCAAGAGCCATGGTCACATACCTGGGTGGCTGAAAAGAGCGAGAGAGCCAGGCATCCTGCCCATCTTGCCTGGCCCTTCTGATAGCCAAGCCCATGCTCTTTCCACAGCAGTGCGTGAGGTGGGAGGTCAAGGCCACCAGGTGGCGGGCCCCAGAGGTGGGGCAGGGCAGCATAAATCTTCCTTCTTCAGGTGCCTGTGGGGAGCCAGGCAGTTGGAGCTGTGGCACTCTCTCCCAGCCCCCCACCGCCTTCTTGGCAAAAGCGGGCTGTGACATGGGGAGCGCTAGAGACTGGCACAGCAGAAATTTAGAAGAGAGTGTGTGCAGGGGTGGCAGAGGTGGAGCCCAGGGAGGTACCGAGTGACAGCAGAAGGGGCTGTGTAGCCCTGGGCAAGCCACTTGACCTCTCTGAGCCTTGGTCATCTTGTTGTAAATGGGGATTACATTTAGTCCCCCCCCATTTGTGGGGACTTTGTGAAGCTTCTACCAGAATGGGGCTTTGGGGGCAGAGCTCCTCTGCTTCAGGTGGTCAGGAAGGGAGGGCAGGCTGGAGAGCTGGGCTGGCCTGAAGGTGGGCGCTGAGCAGAGGTGGGGTCTGAGGTCCCCATGGCTGACGGATGTGCTTTGAGGGCCTTGCTGGGAATCTAGGCTTCTATAGTTCATAGGGGCTCACAAGAGTTGGGGGAAATTTCAGAGGAGTTTCGGGCCTCTACCCACCTTAGGGACCCCCAGCCTTTTCTGCTTTCCCTGGCCAGGCCCTCCCAGCAAAGGGTTAACAGTCTTCTCTACCTGCAGTTGCATTTTAAAGACACGAAATTAAAGCAGGTAATTTATTCTCCCCACACACGAAAGAGCAATTAGTTCTAAACAGGGCTTAATCAGTCACCGCGAGATTGATTTCTGGAGCCCTGGGTTTTCGGGCTCCTGGCGCCATGCCAGGCTGGGGAGGGAGGGGGCAGACAAATGAGCCGCGGCGGCATGAGCCCTTACATAATCTGCTGGGGGGCCCTGGCAGCCTGGCTAGCCCCAGGCGGGGCTTGGCTGAGCTGGGGAGAGGGGGCCTTGCTGCAGTTCCTTAAGAGTAGCCCTCAGGCTTCTGCCTTGCCTCCTGGGGAGAGGCCAGGCCCAAAGCTCTAGCCCCACCCCGGGGGGGGGGTGGGGGTGGGGGGGGGGGGGGGCGGGGAAGAGTGGTGAGGTTCTGGGGTATAAGGTGCGCATTCCTGTCCAACCTGGTACTTACACCTGTTCTCCCCCTTTACCCCATTCACCCTTCATCATTTCTGTTTCCTCCCATTGCCCCTTCTGGCCCTTGTCCTTCCTCTTCTCTCACTTTTTTCTCTGTTTTCTCCGCCTCCTCTTTCCATCACTTCTTCCTCTTTTCTCATGGCCTCCTCGCTTCCCGCTCCCCCACCCATGTCCTTGTCTCTGGCCACAGAACTCCATCCGGCACAACCTGTCGCTGCACACCCGTTTCATCCGCGTGCAGAACGAGGGCACTGGCAAGAGCTCCTGGTGGATGCTGAACCCTGAGGGCGGAAAGACGGGCAAGACCCCTCGGCGGCGGGCCGTGTCCATGGACAATGGGGCCAAGTTCCTGCGCATCAAGGGCAAGGCGAGCAAGAAGAAGCAGCTGCAGGCACCTGAGCGAAGCCCCGATGACAGTCCCCCGGGCGCGCCAGCCCCGGGGCCTGTGCCTGCCGCAGCCAAGTGGGCCACCAGCCCGGCCTCGCACGCCAGCGACGACTACGAGGCGTGGGCCGACTTCCGCGGCGGCGGGAGACCCCTGCTCGGGGAGGCGGCCGAATTGGAGGACGACGAGGCCCTGGAGGCCCTGGCACCGTCGTCGCCGCTCATGTACCCGAGCCCGGCGAGCGCGCTGTCGCCCGCGCTAGGAGCGCGCTGCCCGGGGGAGCTGCCCCGCCTGGCCGAGCTGGGGGGCCCGCTGGGCCTGCACGGCGGCGGCGCGGGGCTGCCAGAGGCCCTGCTGGACGGCGCGCAGGACGCGTACGGGCCGCGGGCCCGGGCCGGGACGCCCGCCTACTTTGGCGGCTGCAAGAGCGGCGCCTACGGCGGGGGCGGGGGCGGGGGCTTCGGGCCGCCGGCGCTGGGCGCGCTGCGCCGCCTGCCCATGCAGACCATCCAGGAGAACAAGCAGGCCAGCTTCGCGCCCGCCGCCGCGCCCTTCCGCCCCGGGGCGCTGCCCGCGCTGCTGCCGCCGCCGCCCGCGCCCAGGCCCGGCCCGGTGCTGGGCGCGCCCGGGGAGCTGGCGCTGGCGGGCGCGACCGCCGCCTACCCCGGCAAGGGCGCGGCCCCGTACGCGCCGCCGGTGCCCTCGCGCAGTGCCTTAGCCCACCCCATCAGCCTTATGACGCTGCCCGGCGAGGCGGGCGCCGCGGGCCTGGCGCCGCCGAGCCACGCGGCCGCCTTCGGGGCCCCGCCCGGTGGCCTCCTGCTGGACGCGCTGCCGGGGCCATACGCGGCGGCCGCCGCCGGGCCGCTGGGGACCGCGCCCGACCGCTTCCCGGCCGACTTGGACCTCGACATGTTCAGCGGGAGCCTCGAATGCGATGTCGAGTCCATCATCCTCAACGACTTCATGGACAGCGACGAAATGGACTTCAACTTCGACTCGGCCCTGCCTCCGCCGCCGCCCGGCCTGGCCGGGGCCCCGCCCCCCAACCAGAGCTGGGTGCCGGGCTGAGGGCCGCCTCCCGCGCCCCGGGTGCCCCGCCCCGCCCCCAAGGGGCTTCTGTCTTCCCGTCCTGATCCCCTGGGCCCCATCCCCGATTCCAGCTCCACGGGAGGATCCGGGAGGCAGCCCCAGGCCTGCTAGAGACGTCCCTCAGCAGCTGACCGCTGACGGAAGTGGTAGGGAGGGGCTGGGGCACCTGGCGTTCCTGCCCAAACTCCTGCGACCCGCTCCTCCTCCCTCCCCCCGGGGCAGGAGGCCTGGGCGGAGCGGAATTTCAGGCTGGGTGGGAGTGGGGACGAGCCAGGTGGGCTGCGCCGGTCTGGGATACCAACCAAGAGGTGAGGCACGGGGCTGAGGGCGTCTCCGAATCTTCAAGTTTCATTTGCAGGGGCCCTCGCCGCGACGGATCACCCACCCCAAACTCCGGATCTGACACCCAACTGACACCTTCCCACTGGTCTTAGCCTCACCCACCCCAAGCCAGGAACGCCTCGCCTCCCGGAAGCACTCACACCTACCTGTTGGCTGTTCACCCTGAGCTGTTTTCCTTCAGCCCTGAACCCCTGCTTAGAGCCCCCATTCCCATGGTTCAGCCCCTCCCTCCTATCCTTGCAGGCCCTACCTTCTCTTCTCCTTTCCTCTCAGGTTGGAGTCAATCCCCCTTCCCACCCCCACCCTCCAGTAATGGTCTCAGCCTCTCCAGCAGGCCTCAGCTCCGGATCCACTCCCAAACCGACACCCCTTTCTCCGTTCCAGTCCTGTCTCCTCTCCCGTATTTATAAGTGTCCGGTCGGGGCGGGCTGTGGGCGCGGCGTCCCCGGCGCATATCGTAGGCAGTGTACCGTGGCCGTGCTGTCAGCGTGTGCGTGTGCGTGTGTGCCGTGTCGAGGCCGTGTAGAGTGCATTGTACAGCATATTTTCATGAATAAAATTGTTTTAAATATTTCCCGCGCCTTGGGCTAGCAGGGTTGGTGGTGGCAAAGGAGGAATATCGGCAGGGATGGTGGGGGGTCCCTGTGCCTGAGCCCCTCTTGTGGCTTTGTGTCTGAGTATATGTCAGCATTCCCTGATGCCTGTCTGCTCCACACACATTGCTTAAGCGCCTACTGAGTTCTGGACGCTGGCGATGTCCTGGTGTGGAACTCTGCACCTGTTTCTGTGAACACATGCCGGCAGGAAGTTTCTAGTTTGGGGGAAATTCTGTCCTGAATACATAAGCCTCAGAGGTTGGGAGAGAAGGCACAGATATTCACTGAGAACCTGTTAGTGTCAGGTCCTGCATTAGGTATGATTTTCGTTCCCATTGTGCAGTTGAGAAAACAGGGTCAGAAAGGGAAAATGGCTTGGAAAGGCAGCGTGGCTTAATGGAAGGGAGGCCTTTGAAGGCACACAGACTTCTCTTTGAATCCATTTCCTGCCTTTTGCTAGTTCTGTGCCCATGGGCAAGTTTTCAACGTCTTACTTTCCTGGTCTAGACCATAGGGTAGTAGCAGCCGTTGCATGGATTTCTGCTGAGGAGTAAATGAGAAAAGGTGTATAAAGTGCTCAGCCCAGCACTCATTCATTAGTTCATCCATGGAAGATTTAGTGAGCACCTTTAAGTGCCAAGGTCTTGTACCAAGCATTGGGGCTGCCAGAGAGAGCATCAGAGGCACAATCTCTGCCCTCAAGGAACTTAGAGGCTCAAGGGGGACACAGGTGAGTAAACAGGCGATTATCCATCAGAGCTGTAATGAAAGGAGGAGACAGGCTGCTGTGGGAATGAATGACATGCCACACCAATCCCAGGCTCGAGGAGTCAGGGAAGGCATCCGGAGGGGGTGCTGTCTCAGCTGAACCTTGAGGGGTGAGTTGGCACTGGGAAGGAGAGGGATTCAAACAGGGAGGGAACGGCATATTGAGAGGCCCGGATTCGAGATCATGTGGGTTCCAGAACCAAAAGCAGTTTAGTGTGGCCAAAGCAAAGAGATGGAGAGATTACTGATGATGGGGAGGCAAATGGGCCAGAAGGGGGACCCCTCCTGTCAGTGGCCAGGCCAGAGGTGTCAATGGTGACATGGGGAGGGCAGAGGGGCAGGAGGGGAAAGGATGAATTCCCATATATTTTGGACATAGAATCACTGGGAGTAGTTTTGGATTGGATACAGGGGGTGAAGGACAGGGAAGAATCAAGTGATGCCGGGTTTCTGGTTGGGCACCTGGACGGGCAGGGCCATTCTCTGAGGAGAGCATTGAGGTGGGAGGAGCCCTGGGAAAGATGGTACACTCAGCCACAGACAGGCTCCTTTCAGTTAGGGTCCATGGAACCCTTGGGATTTTGGAAGGATGTTCAGCAGTCTATCTACTGTGTGAATGGCAGTCCCTGGCACTGGACAGCATGGTGCCCTGGAGATGTCCAGCTGGATCATGGAGTCAGAAATCCTGGAGAGGGAAGTTGAAGAATCAGGAGCACAGAGGTTGTCATGGAGGTGTTAGGAGTGGCTCAGGGGATGGTGCTGAGTGGGAAGAGCAGGGCGACCCAGGTCTGCTTCAGTGAACACCTAAGAACACGTTGGCACAGGAAGAGGAACCCACTGGCTGAGAAGGAGCAGCCGAAGGGAGAGGAGGAGGAAAACCCCAAACACTGAGTATGTGAAAAGAGCATGGTTTTGGAAATAACGCCTAGTGCCTTTACCTTTTGGAGCCTCACTTTCCTGGTCTGGAAGCTGGGTCAGTAGCACCTGTCTCAGATCTGTTTTGAGGAGTGAACAAGATTGGAATTATTCTCTGAGGTCACACTTCTGGCAAGGGACAGAGCCGAGGTTCTTGCCCACACTGTGTGTACCGCCAATGCCCAGGCTTTCCCATGGCCCCCACTGCCTCTGAGGAGGTGGCTGTGAGCAGGGCAGCAAAAGAGCTCGGAGCCAGCAGGACTTATACAGGTCCTGGGCTAAGGGCTGGGAGGCGAGACGTCACTGTGGGGTGTGGTAAGCTGTCCTCACTGGGTGGGGAACATATAGAAGCTGATGGACTATTCCCTGGAACAGATGCCCCAGCCCCACCCCACAACCAGACTCCAGGACAGCCCAGCTGGGTCTGGGCTCCATATGGGCTGCAAAGCTGCCCCCACCCTAAGCTGATGGAGGGTGGGCTGCTGGTATGCGTGTGCAGGTCTGTGTGTGTCCATGTAGCCCCACATGCATCTGTCTGTGTGGGCCCGTGTGCGTGAGCGCTGGGGTGGGGGGCAGGCTGGATGATGGTTGGGATCTCCCTGTCTGTGCGCATGCCTGAGTGAGCGTGTGTGTGTGTGTGTGTGTGTGTGTGTGTGCGCGCGTGTGTGTGTGTGTGTTGGGAATAACAGCATCTCCGTCTCCGAGTGTGCCCACACGTGCGCCCGGGGCTGTGGAGTCTGCTGGTGTGAGTTGTGTGCACTGCATGCTTTCCTCTCTGGGTGTGTCTGCTGTCTTGGCGCATACCTCTCTCTGGGTGCACCAGAGCTGGTGTTCCCCCCACCAGGAGCGTCTTCTGGGCTGCTCTGGGGGGGGGGGGGGGGAGAAGAGAGAGGAGCAAAGGGCCACTCCCAACCCTGGGATCAGGCCAGGCTCATGAGCAGGGAGCAGCGAGACCACCTCAGAGTAAAGAGCTCTGCCAGGCTCAGGCCGGAGACAGCCTCTGTCTTGCTGGACCCCATCAGGAGAAAGGGGGCAATACCCCTGCAGCTGGGGGTCTGCAACTGGCCCTTCCCTGCAAGCCTTGGAGCCCAGCAGACGCGCCCCCCTCTATGCCCACTCCCAGGGAGGCGTCTGACACATGATTTATTCATAAAAAGCCATTATTTGTGCCAAAGAACTGAGCTGCTGCTTTTTAAGTGCTGATAATGCTCTGGGCCTCCTCGCCTCTCCG